ATACTAAATTGGCATAAAAATGAAGAGAGTTATATAAGCAACCCCCAAAAGGCACTCAAAGGTACTTTGAGACAAGTATTCAGTTACAGAGAAGACAGAGTGGAAGCTCTGAGGAAAGATATACTGTAAGTCGGGGTCACCAACCTTTTGGACCTCAGGGACCACTAAATTCATAATTTTAAATCTCGTGGACCACTAATATGAATTTTTTAAAAAAGATAGATAGTATTTAGTGTAATATAAAAATGCAAATAATGTTTCTGAGGACCACCAAAATTTTCTCGCGGACCACCAGTGGTCCATGGACCACTGGTTGGTGACCACTGCTGTAAGTTACCAACAGGGATCATTATACTTAAATGCTGGTGACAGCAATCAGAGTTGTTTTAGCAGGGAGATGCTGGACTTTTTGGCATATGTGGTGGTTGTGGTAGAGAATAATGGGAGAATGACGTGTAGTGTAACCTGCTCTGAGCTCCTAAATAAAAGGAGGATGTAAATAAAGTAAACAAGACACCAAATAAGTAATCAACATTCAGAGCAGTGGTGAAATCCAATTTTTTTTACTACCGGTTCTGTGGGCATGGCTTGGTGGTGTGATGTGGCTTGGTGGGTGTGGCTTGGTGGGCGTGGCAGGGGAAGGATACTGCAAATTTTCCATTCCCACCCCACTCCAGGGAAGGATACTGCAAAATCTCCATTCCCACTCCACTCTGGGGCCAGCCAGAGGTGGCATTTGCCTGTTCTCCGAACTAATCAAAACTTCCTCTATCGGTTCTCCAGAACCTGTCATCCCTGCTTCAGAGTCCCCAACTCTTGAAAGAAATTGTTCCAAGAATGACAGGTCCTGTTACAAAGTGCTATTGGATGAATTTCTCAAAGAAATGCTGAGGTAGGTTTATAGGCACAGTGGCGGTTTCACTTAACAAGGAATATCTGTAGTTATTGCTGGATCAGGTCAAGTCTTAATCTACCATTTTACTTCTCACACTGGACATCATAATATATACAGTATGTCCTTTTCTACGAGGCATTTTCAGGAGCTCAACTTTTTTTTACAAAAATCTCTTTCCAGTCGGCCAAATCTCAAACTCAAAATTTTTATTATTATTTTGTTTTTATTTAGTTTTGACATTCATGCCAAATGAGTCCTAGATTACAATTTGGGCATCATTAGATAAGGCTAAAATCTGGTTGCCTAGCTGTGGCTGGTTATGTTGGGCAAACAGTCTCTTATTGTAACTTCTCAAGGGTCTGATGGCCCTTCAGGACAGGCAGAAAAATAAGACTTTTTATTAAACTTCTGGTGAACCACTACTCCATGTTCAAGGGAGACCTGTTTCTGAAAATCGCAGAAAGAAAATTAAGAACCTGAGCATTCAGGAAACATTCTCATTTATCCTTCCAGTCCATGGAAGAAGACTGGGAAAAGGTAAGACTACTATAATCCAGTGATCATGATGGAAAAGATGTTGATTATCCTTGTCTGATGTATCAAGATAATTAATCACTAGAATATGGATTGCACTTCACAAGGACAGGTGTGTTTGGCCAAAACATGTAAAGATTGATTAGAGAGCACCCTTTCTCGCTCATTGTAAGTTAAGAGCACCTTTTCTTGCACCCTTATTCAAGTGAATAAATTTGAAATGCTGTAGAGAGCATTTTGGTTAATTGCTAAGAGTTAAGTATCTGGAAAGCTGAAACTGTATCCTAATGTGAAGCTTGACAGAGAGAATGTTTATCAAACTTGCAGATGATAATAGGTGGGATGGCTAACACCCTAGAAGAAAGAAAGAAAATTCAACATGATTTTGATAGGTTATTGCAATTACAGTTAGAAGATAGATATTAATATTAACTTATTAGTTAATACTATAGTATAGAATATAATTTAAGACACAAGGTCAGATTTCTTCACTTACAAAAATCAATTGTACAAGTGTAGAATGGGGATATCTGGCTTGATGATGCTATTCGAGAAAAGTGTCTTGGCTGCCAAGAAGGCAGATGCAATCTTAGGTTGTATCAATACTGTTTTGCTTTGGTTGAAAGTCACCTTGAGTATGATGCTAAATTCTAAACCATTGCACTTTAAGAGGGAATCAGAAATGGAGCAATTCGGAAAAGGGCTACAAAGATGCCCAAAGGATTAGAAATTAAACCTGAGATGACAGATTGAAGGAGCAGGGAAAATTTAGCTTTGAGGAAAGTTGATAAATATCTGTAAGGATTTATACAGAAGAAAGTCTAACTCTAGACCTGTTCTTCAACATTTTGTCACACATGGAATAATAGACTTAATAGCAATGGCATTTAGATTTATATACCGCTTCACAGCCCTCTCTAAGTGGTTTACAGACTCTGCATATTGCCCCCAACAATCTGACCACCTTGGAAGGATAGAAGGCTGAGGGGGTCAACCTTGAATCGCTCAGAATCGAACTCCTGGAGTGAACAGTGAGTTAGCCTGCAGTACTGCATTCTAACCACTGCGCCACCACAGCTCTTAAATCTTAATTTTCTTATCTTAAATGATAGGAAAGCAGATTTCTTCAACTAAATATTGTGCGTATGTGCATGTGTGGGATAATTCAAATTATAAAAGAAATGTAACAGTGCAATAAAATACCCAGACAGGGGGTGGATTAGTTATATTGGTTACATTCAAGCAGATGCTACACAGCCATGTATCTGGGGTGCAGAGAGAAGAAGACCGAAAGTGATGGCCTAAATGCACCCGTCCAATTCTAGATATCTAACCTAAGCAGAGAGGAACGTGGTGGCTCAGTGGCTAAGACGCTGAGCTTGTTGATCGAAAGGTCGGCAGTTCAGTGGTTTGAATCCCTAGTGCCGTGTAATGGGGTGAGCTCCCGTTACTTGTCCCAGTTTCTGCCAACCTAGCAGTTCGAAAGCAAGTAGAAAAATAGGGACCACCTTTGGTGGGAAGGTAACAGCGTTCCGTGCGCCTTTGGCATTTAGTCATGCCGGCCACATGACCAGAGAGATGTCTTCGGACAGCGCTGGCTCTTCGGCTTTGAAACGGAGATGAGTACCGCCTCCTAGAGTAGGGAATGACTAGCATATATGTGCGAGGGGAACCTTTACCTTTTAACCTAAGCAGGACAACAGATTCTGAGTGAAAGCAGGGGCTCTCCTCCAACTCCACTACCTATATTCCATTCTGCTTCTTTCCCTTAGAGGTCAGAATTGCATGTCTCCTATTCTCAGTATTGATTCCTTGCTTTAATACCCTAGCTTTTCTCCAGGAGCTCAGAATTATGTATATCAGGATCTCCTCTCTTTTTATCCCTACCAGTCATAGATTGGGCTGACTGAGAGTAGGCTAAAATGGTCTAATAAATGAGTAAGAGCTTAGGCTTGTGTCTTCACAGCCCAGGTCTCATCATCATAACCACCACGATTTAGTGGCACAGAGCCACCAGGTTCTGTGCCACTAAAGTAAAGGACTGAAGTAAAATAGTTTTTGCATTTCAGCCAACAACTGTGTATGGAGGGGAGAGACTCAGTCTAATCCCTCTGGACTAATCCTGCATCAATTTGGTAGATGAATCTGGGTGATTGTGAGTGCACAATTAGACCCTCTTTTGCATCTATCTCATCCAAAACACTTTTTGTCCTTCTTGACCATTTTGTGATGAGATATGGAACCCATCCATAAGAATAACCAGATGTGTACCAGTGGTGGGTTGCCCCCGGTTCGTACCGGTTCTATAGAACTGGTAGTAAAATCGGCAGGAGGCCCTGCCCACTGACCCTGATGTCATGAAAATGCTTCTGCACTTGCGCAGAACAGCACACACGTGAGCGAGCGAAGCTCATGCACACGCACAGCCCCATTGCAAACCAGTAGTAAAGGTAAGTAGAACCCACCCCTGATGTGTACCGTATTCAGTGTTCAGTGGGCTAATGTTTACAGCCTCATGTTCTCAACAAAGTTCATGAAACGAAGAGTCACTATGTGAGCTGGATGGCTATGCAAATGTAATAGACAGACAGACAGCAAGACAGATAGATGAGACATGACTCTGAAGAGAACAATGGCAACAAGGGCATGTGAAGCTTTGCATTTTTACATCTTGGTTCTTGACCCTCACCTTCATCAATATTCCTTCTGATCTCAAATAATTTTCGAATGACTGCAAAAACATTTTTTTGACTTTGAATGTTTTTTCAGTTTTCACTACTTCCTACTGAAATAGTTACTGCTTATATTGTTCCACTATGGTTATTTTTATTAATACCAATGGAGATTGTTATGTATTTAATGCTTTTTAAAAATTTGTTTAATGCTCAGCTGATTTGACCTCCTCTTGGATATGTGTATTTTTTAAATAAAAGTGAACTATTGGTGGCAGAGAAAATAACAATAACTCTTTTAAGAAATTGACTGTTGCAATATATTGCTATGAGGAAATAATGAGAGAGGAAGAGAGTAAGGACAGCTGGCCAATAGTTCAGTTCTTTCTAATATCTAATAGCTGTTTTATATGAAATGATATTTTTTGTCCTTTTTCACATTAGCTGGACACAACTCTATAAGAGGTAATAGCTTAAACCAACATTTCAAACTCTGATTGTGTTGTGTTTGTTTAAATTATATACAATCCTGTGGCACGTAATTTGAAGTTGACAAAGAAAAGGTGGAAAAACTGGACATACTCCAAACCTTCTTTTGCTGGCTGGGAGTATATCCAGTTTTTGTTTTGTTGTTTTGCAGCAATCAGTATCCAGTTGGTGCATTATTTACTGTTGATCTACTGAGTATGAATTACAGAAGCTACTCTCTGTTTCATTGCTTCGTTTAGCTTCTGGCCTAAAATGCTAATTCACTTGGGCAGTCTACAAATCGTCATGCCCAAGTTAAGCTTTAAACCTTGCATCCTGCCATAAAATGACATTTATTTTTAGAATGCTCTCTAGGTGTTCCACTCTCTCCGACTGAGCAATAGTTAAATAAAACACAACATATTAAAATCTTTGCAAAAAAAGGTCTCTAATTAAAACAAGTGCTTCTCCTTCTCCCACACAGATTTCATTTTCAGCACATGGGTTCTCCACACAACCTATTTTCATCACACAAGCAGCAATTGAAAGGTGAGGGAGAGAGGGAGTCAAAGTGAGAGAAAGGGGTCTCTAGCTTATAATCTTAGCCCTTCAACTTCAGGTCCAAAGGCTTCAGAAAGTGCGGCAAAGGTAGCCCATCCAGAGCTTCTGGGAAATGTTCGCGTGAAATGCTCCCAATTAAAACTTGCATGGATCTAACAAAGAGAGAGCAAGGAGCAAAACCAGCCAGCCACTGATATCGGCTATCACCCAGGAGGTCCTGCCATGGTTGCTGGTCTTCCCGCAGCTGCTGTTTCATGGCAAAATGGAAGCCTGTAGGCATGAAGAGCAAGAGCGAGTCCAGAAGGAGAAGCTTGGTGCAGAGATTTGATGCTGGACTCTCCCAAATTTGTTGTAGAAGTAGGTCTAGAGGTGTGTTCCCAGCACAGTCACGAAGGCAAGGTAAGGCTCCGTGTCCCAGCAACAAAAGCAAACACTCCGGCCTTGCCAGTTCACAAGCCACATGAAGGGCTGTTTTGCCACCTTCTACTCGACTGCAACCTCGGCGGTCCAAATAGGTAGCTCGGTCGCTTACTGGAAAGTTTTTGATGGCCTTCAGAATCTCTACTAGGACATGGATACGATTGTACCGGACGGCCATAGCTAAGTGAGGAGCTGAAGAGTGGCAGCAGCTGAAGTGAAGGCTTGGTACTGCAAGGGCACTTTTAGGAAATTGGTTCAGTAAATATCGGGCATAAGGCTGGTGGTTGTGTACCAGGGCATACAGCAGTGCCTCTGAAGGTGAATATGTGCTGACTTTGCCTCCTTCTTGCCAGTGGAAAGCCTCCATGCGCCTCATGTCTTCCAAGAGCCATACCGGTAGCTGGTCTCTCACAGCTTGATAGAAAGCAAAAGAGGATTTCTTGCATTGTTTCTGAGACTGGGAGCTGTGGCTGTTGCAGCTATTCAACCATTTGACGTTCCAGGGCATCCTTGAGGCTGGGTTCACAGGGAAGACCTCCCTTCTTGGCTACCAGGTGTTTTTCTCATGAAGAGTCAAGAAGACGGAGGAAGGCTTTAAGAGAAAAGGAATTGTTTAGAAACTACCCCTCCCAAAAGCCACGTTCTTCTGTGTCTTTGTCTCCCATGCCAGGTTCATCAAGGTACAGGTATTCCTCAACGTACAACCATTCATTTAGTGACCGTTTAAAGTTACAACGGCACTGAAAAAGGTGACGTATGACCATTTTTCACCCTTACAATCGTTGCAGCATCCCCATGGGCACGTGATCAAAATTCAGATGCTTTGAGCATAATGATATATAAATATGTTTGAATTGTATTGTTAATAGTGAGGATTTAGGGTAAGAATTGTTGTATTATGAGTTATTAATTGAATTAAGAATTAAGGTAGGTTAATAGAAAGGTAATTGTTTTGATTAAGTAAATATGTGTTAATTTTTTTAAAGATGGTATTAGCTGAATATGTGATATAAGATTTAGAAATAAGTGCTATGGCAAAATAGTATATTTTGTTAAAGATTTTGTTAAAAATTGAACAAAGTGATGACTAGATCAAAGCTCTGTTCCGAAAGGATGTAATTTGTATGTTTGGAAAAAAACAAAAAAACTTTTTGCAAAAAAAAATAATAATCAGTTGCTTTGCAATCGATTCATATTTATGACGGTTGCAGCGTCCTGGAGTTACATAATCATCTTTTGCAATCTTCTAATAATGGGGAAGCCAGATTCACTTAACAACCATATTACTAACTTAGCAACGGCAGTGATTCACTTAACAACTGTGACAAGGTAGGTCATAAAATAGGGCAAAATTCACATAACCAATGTTTTGCCTAGCAACAAAAAATTTGGGCTCAGCTGTGGTCGTACGTCGAGGACTACCTGTATTGTGAGGTATTGACAAAAACTGTTTTGAAGATGATAGGAAAGAACTCTGCCTGAATCTGAAGTCTCTCCGTATTGATGGGAACTGCAGGCACTGCCATCTAACTCTTTGAAAATAGTTCTTGATCTCTCTCTGTTCAAATATCAATTACAGTGGAGTTAAAATCACCATGGAGTTTTATTTTGAAACTCCAAGGCTCCATTTTCTCATTGGAAGGAACTCTGCTAGTTACCAAATGTCAGATTCTACAGGAGTTTGAGGGCTTTGCATTTTGCTCAGACAAGAAAACTGGAGTTGGGGGTGGGGGACTGACAAGTTTGTGGTATTGTTATTCTTGTCAGTTGCCTCCTCTCCAAGATCAGCTGTTGTATGCAAAACGTTAGGCTTCTGATGTTATTCTTTTCCTTCTATCCCTTTTGTGTAGATGGGATTTTTGCTGTTGCATAATTTATAGAAGGTCAAGCTGGCACAGTATTTTTCCCAGCCTTTAAAGTCAAGTAAAGACAGGTTAGTCATGGATCAGTGTTAAAACTACTTCTGAGGGTTTGGGGAACAAAAACAGTACCAGTGCTTTTAAGATCTTCCACAATTTTTACCTATATTTCTCAACTTTCAATGGACTTGATGAGGATTTTTTGGGTAGCTTCCCTTAGCATAAACATATTTTTCTGCTTCTTCTTCCCCCCACCCTCTATCAAATAATAGACATATCTGGTTATCTATCAGCTTACTCAAGGACCCTAATATCGCTCACCTTGGTTGGATAATCTTTATCCTACTCTCCAAATTTTGTAGACATTTCTTTCTGTGGTTATCACCTCTTGTAACACTAGTTCTGCTTAGTGATTAATTTTTTCCTCCTGCCCTTAAAAATAAGAAAGGAGTGAGGAGGTGTTGGCTGAACTAAGTAATTTAAATCTAACCCAGATTGAATCAATTTTCCCACAGGACAGATGGAATGGAAATTTGCAGAGCTAGTTTTTACAAGGTACCTGAACTCTAATTCGGTGTCAGTCCCCTTTATATTATTAAGTATGATAAAGTAAACAGACAGTACCTTTTTAGAGGTGTATGTGGTCTGTATTTTATTTAGCTGGGCTGTTTGTGACTCCTCATCTAAAACTGAATACAATATGTACATATTTGTCTTAGCGCATTCATGATCAATAAATGAAGGGGCTATTTCACTCCTCAGTATCAAACTGAGCTACAAACAGCAGATCAGGCATTGAAAAATAACTGTGTTTGGTGAATTTATCTGAGTCCCAGAAATGGGCTACTAAATATGGTGTTTATGTCTCCCAGGAGCTGCAAAAGACTTCCGACTCACTCTGTATAAGCTTATCTATCCCCATTCACCCCAATATTACAATCAATATAACACACGCAACAGAATGACTTCTTCAGTTTATTGTCTTGGAGCTGTTAGATCTCCTAGGCAAGGAATGGAGTATTGCTATAGCAGCCCTTGAAAGCTTACTATACCCCAATCACCATACCCATCTGGGTTGTCACAAAGGGATTTCCTAGTACATCATTAACACTGCATCTTCTCTTTCCTATTGATAAATCTGAGATAAATTAACTCTGCTGGCCAGTTCAGCTTTGTTTTGTTTTGTTTACACTAGCAGAAAGGTTTAAGGGTGCCTGCACTTTGGCTCAGGAAGGTGTGATGTTTGCTTCCTTTTCAAAGGCAAAGGGCCATGAAGATCTGGCCCAGCTGCGAGTAACAAGGCTGACCTCCTGATCAAGTTGCAATTTGGAGAAGGCCAGTTAAATACCACCCTGCAAATCCCAATCCATTTTGTTAGCGTTATGGGGACTTGCTTTACAAGCGGAGCCCCCAGTGATCTCAACATCAGGGTTTGGTCCATCTTGGACTGGTACCTACTCGGAATATAGTAACTTGGGATTTAATATGTGGCCCAAAGGCACTTTCAGGCCAATCTACTGCACCAGTGTGTCTCAATCTTGGCAATATTAAGATGTATGGACTTCAACTCCCAGCCAGTTGAGGGAATTCTGTGAGTTAAAAACCACTTGCCTCTTAAAGTTCTCCAAGGCTGAGAAACGCAGGTCTACACTATCTTGTCCTTGGATTCCCCCCTCCATGTCCTCCCCTTTTGAGCTAGCATGATCTTCATCCCACTCACCCAATGGGACCTTGCTGGTACAAACAAGGGAATGCCCTCCAAACCTTGCACCCTTGAGGGCTCCAAAGGCAGTTACCACTTGACCTGCTTTCCCCTCACTGGCAGTCATCTTTCTTCTCCTCTCTTGCCAGGCAGCCGCTTGTAACAAGACATGGAAAGAGGAGGAACAAGGTTGGGAGGCTCAGGGGAGGCCAGGACTCTCTCAATCTGGTTATACTGCTAGTTTTTGTACCCACAACCTCTTCTCTGCAGGCTGCTCTCTCTCTCTCTCTCTCTCTCTCTCTCTCTCACTTGGGGAGTAGCCGGCTCCGGCTCCTCCAAAAGGCTTCCCTTCCAAAGACCCCTCCTCCCTCCCGAGTAGCTTTTTTTTACAGCATAAAAACATGCATTTTGGGGTGTGTGGACGGTTCATCTTTCAAGACTTGAAGGGAGAAGGGGCGCTACTCATTCTCTCAGAAGACACCGCTGTGCCCCCAAGGCCACCGTTCTCTGCTTCGGCACCCTCCGTCTTTCCAAGCAGCAGATGCAATTCCGGCACGACCCCTGCCTCGCCTTCCCTCCCTCCGCCCCCCGCTCTCCCATCTTCCCTTCCCCTCGCCAGACGCCCCAAGACCTCCTCTTACCTCGCGCGTCTCTCCACCCCAAAAACTCCCCAGCCAGCCCGCCGGTCTTCCGAGACGTCGCTGGGGTTTCGATCTGGCATTCGCGGATTGGGCCCTGACCGCAGGGAAAGCGGGATCCGAAGCCGCCCTTCTTCCGTCCGCAAAGAATGCAGCCCGGCGGGATTCGCCTGCGAGTCGCGCGGGGCTCTTCCTCGGGGCTGGCCGCAGCAATGAATGAGCGCCGCTCGCTCTTCGCTTCTCTCCGGCTGCAAGCCGCGCGCACACGCACCCGAGGGAGTCCGGCAGCCGCGGCTCTTCCCCTCCGCCGCGCCCCCCCCGCCCCCGCCCCCGTGCGCTCCTCCGCTGCCTGCGCTCTCCTCCCCCTGCGGAAGAAGAGCGGCTGCGCTGGGCTCCCGGCTTCACCGAGCGCGAACTGCCTTCTCAGAGGAGAAGCCGCGGGCGGGAACAGCAGCAGCCGAGCCGTCTGTTCTCCTCAGGAGTAAAGCAGCAGCAGCAGCGGCGGCGGCCAAACTTCAATTGCCTCCTCCGGGCTCTTTTATCCCTTCCCAGAGCCCCGTCTGGTGAAGGTCGCTTAGGACCGGGGAACTGTCCGGAGCCTCAGGATTGGTCCCGGCGGGGTCCTCCCCCCCAGCTTCCCATTGGCTGAGAGGAGAGGATGGGGCCCCGGAGCGATTGTTGGCGTCAGCGGGGAGGCAGAGTTCCAAGAAAGTTTCCGGGCTGCTTGTAAGTGGTAGGAGCGCGCGGGGCTCGTGCTGTTGACCCTACAAGGGGAGGAGGGCGAAAAAGGCGGCAAGGCAGATGGGGCTTCCCCCTGCAGGGGATCAGACGCCCCCCGTTCCCCCACCCCCCCACCCCTCTTCCGCCCCCTTGGGCCCCCTTTTCCTCCCATCCTCGGAGCTCGCTGCCATTGGCTGCCTTAACGTGCTGATCTCTCCGCCAGGCTTGGAGCCGACGGAAACATTCCTCACACCAGCTCTGCTGCCCCATCGCCGACCCCTCCCCTCTCCTGCCACAACAAGGGCGCCGCTAAAGGGGCTTCCCTTGCGCGCCTATTGTGAATCGGCGCTCCCATGGATGAGTCTAGTTAGTAGTGGTTGTGGCCAAAACAAAGACAGGTGCACTAGAGCAGGGGTCTCCAACCTTGGGAACGTTAAGCCTGGCGGACTTCAACTCCCAGAATTCCCCGCCAGCAAGGACAGTGCGCTAGAGCAGGGGTCTCCAACCTTGGGAACGTTAAGCCTGGCGGACTTCAACTCCCAGAATTCCCCCGCCAGCAAGGACAGGTGCGCTAGAGCAGGGGTCTCCAACCTTGGCAACTTAAGCCTGGCGGACTTCAACTCCCAGAATTCCCCAGCCAGCAAGGACAGGTGCGCTAGAGCAGGGGTCTCCAACCTTGGCAACTTTAAGCCTGGCGGACTTCAACTCCCAGAATTCCCCAGCCAGCAAGGACAGGCGCTAGAGCAGGGGTCTCCAACCTTGGCAACTTTAAGCCTGGCGGACTTCAACTCCCAGAATTCCCCAGCCAGCAAGGACAGGTGCGCTAGAGCAGGGGTCTCCAACCTTGGCAACTTAAGCCTGGCGGACTTCAACTCCCAGAATTCCCCAGCCAGCAAGGACAGGTGCGCTAGAGCAGGGGTCTCCAACCTTGGGAACGTTAAGCCTGGCGGACTTCAACTCCCAGAATTCCCCCACCAGCAAGGACAGGTGCGCTAGAGCAGGGGTCTCCAACCTTGGCAACGTTAAGCCTGGCGGACTTCAACTCCCAGAATTCCCCCACCAGCAAGGACAGGTGCGCTAGAGCAGGGTCTCCAACCTTGGCAACGTTAAGCCTGGTGGACTTCAACTCCCAGAATTCCCCCACCAGCAAGGACAGGTGCGCTAGAGCAGGGGTCTCCAACCTTGGCAACGTTAAGCCTGGCGGACTTCAACTCCCAGAATTCCCCCACCAGCAAGGACAGGTGCGCTAGAGCAGGGGTCTCCAACCTTGGCAACGTTAAGCGTGGCGGACTTCAACTCCCAGAATTCCCCCACCAGCAAGGACAGGTGCGCTAGAGCAGGGGTCTCCAACCTTGGCAACGTTAAGCCTGGCGGACTTCAACTCCCAGAATTCCCCCACCAGCAAGGACAGGTGCGCTAGAGCAGGGGTCTCCAACCTTGGCAACGTTAAGCCTGGCGGACTTCAACTCCCAGAATTCCCCAGCCAGCAAGGACAGGTGCGCTAGAGCAGGGGTCTCCAACCTTGGGAACGTTAAGCCTGGTGGACTTCAACTCCCAGAATTCCCCACCAGCAAGGACAGGTGCGCTAGAGCAGGGGTCTCCAACCTTGGCAACGTTAAGCCTGGTGGACTTCAACTCCCAGAATTCCCCCACCAGCAAGGACAGGTGCGCTAGAGCAGGGGTCTCCAACCTTGGCAACGTTAAGCCTGGCGGACTTCAACTCCCAGAATTCCCCCACCAGCAAGGACAGGTGCGCTAGAGCAGGGGTCTCCAACCTTGGCAACGTTAAGCCTGGCGGACTTCAACTCCCAGAATTCCCCCACCAGCAAGGACAGGTGCGCTAGAGCAGGGGTCTCCAACCTTGGGAACGTTAAGCCTGGTGGACTTCAACTCCCAGAATTCCCCACCAGCAAGGACAGGTGCGCTAGAGCAGGGGTCTCCAACCTTGGCAACGTTAAGCCTGGCGGACTTCAACTCCCAGAATTCCCCCACCAGCAAGGACAGGTGCGCTAGAGCAGGGGTCTCCAACCTTGGGAACGTTAAGCCTGGCTGGGAAATTCTAGGAGTTGAAGTCCCCAGGCTTAACGTTGCCAAGGTTGGAGACCCCTGCACTAGAGAGAGCTGAGCTTTCGCCCCTTTCGACCGGAAAAGTCTCACCAAATGTTCCTGAATCTTGTTGCCATGATTGCTTATAAATAGGGGCCTTGGGTGACAAAGCCTTCCCTGGAATTCTTGTGCTGTTAGCTTAACCCTCTTTCCAAGAAACTTAACTCATCGAAGTTCCAAGAATGTTTTCTTTTCTTTTCTTTTTGGTACTGGTTTCCAATACAAGAGAAAGCAGACACCGAACCACTTAAGGAAAGGGATTGGCTGGGATCTGCCACTTCATTTTCTCTTTCATCAGTTGCTTAGAATTCAGCTGCCAATCACTCTCTCTACAAATATTATAAAGCCTTAGTAAGACCACACCTAGAATACTGCATTCAGTTTTGGTCACCGCATTATAAAAAAAGTTGTTGAGATTCTAGAAAAAGTGCAGAGAAGAGCAACCAGGATGATTAGGGGACTGGAGGCTAAAACATAGGATGAATGGTTGCAGGAACTGGGCATGGCTAGTCTAGTGAAGAGAAGGACCAGGGGAGACATGATAGCAGTCTTCCAATATTTGAGTGGCTGCTACAGAGAGGAGGGGGTCAAGCTATTTTCCAAGGCACCCGAAGGCCAGACAAGGAATAATGGATGGAAACTGATCAAGGCGAGATTCAACCTAGGGTTTCCTGCTTGGGTGGGGGGGGGTTGGGGTTGGACTAGATGCCCCTTCCTACCCTGTTAATCTGTTAAATGACATCTGCCTATCCCAGGTCCTTGGGAAGGACTCTATAGATAGAGGAAAGTTCCAAATACGGCCTAAATATCCGGCTGACTGTGCAATGAGTCACAATAATAAAATAGTAATTGGTGCAATCCCAAAACAATTATATCACTGGAACACTAACAGTATTGAGAAATTCAACCAGTCAATTGCAAAAAGCAACTTTATTTGGGACAGCTTGCATCCTGTAAAACCATATCTGTAACACCATCAAACATCCACATCTGCCCATCCCAAGTCCTTGGGAAGGAGTCGATAGGCGTAAAAAGATTGCAAATCCAGCCTAAATATCCAGCTAACTGTGTGATGAACCATAATAATTTATTAAACCTGTGTGCCAACTGGATAGATCTCAGTTCATGAACCACATCAGCAGCCACTGAAGTCACTGAAATGTGCTGGAGTACATTTATGGCTAAATTTTGCTGGGAGAAGAAAGAAGCTGTCTTAGTTATGGGCTCATCTTGTAGGTAACATGGCAGAAAAAAGTATGGCAGAAAAAAGTGTGGCAGGTTACCAGGACATGTTTGTGATAAAGAGCTGTACATCTTGACACACCTACTTCAAATGCTTGTATTTTGTTTGTATATGTGATTTTGGGTTCAGTGATTATTGCATGCATAAATATCTATCAGTTCTGGGAATAGTAGTGTTGGAGATTCCCACGCAGATTGGCATACCTCTCTTGGTGAGGAAATTGGGTGTTTCCAAATTTTGGGTGAGCTTTGTGTGACATGTCTAGCAAGGTACATATCTGAAAATCAAGAATTTCTATGAGGAATAACCTGAATTTGTTCCTTGGACTGTATTTGCTAATGAAGGGTACTGTACTTCTATTTTCTTCTGATGCTTAATATTTGTTGGTTCTGTCTTAAAATTGGAGGTAAACCCATTTACAATTTACATCGGATTAAAAAAAGTTTTACAACTGTTCAGAAGCAAAGTTCACACTGAATCCAGCACCATCCTTAGCATGTATTTTAAAAAAAAGATAAAGGTTTTCCCTGACCAGTGGTGTCTGACTCTAAGGAGTGGTACTTATCTCCGTTTCCTAGGTGAAGGAACGAGCATTGTCCGAAGACGCTTCCGTGGTCATGTGGTTGGTATGTTTATATGCTGAGGCACATGGAATGCTGTTATCTTGCCACCA